AGCGAAAACCTCTCAAAAAAAAAAAAAAAAAAGTTTAAAAAACTAATAGCTTAAAACTGCCACACACAAAAAAACAAAATGGTCCACAAAACATTTTCCTTTCCTTCTGAAGGTTTTACGTTGCATCGTTATCATTAACCAGTCTTTTACTATTAAACTTAAATGGCCAATTGAGACAAACAGTTCTGAGACTGTTCTTCCACCACTGATTAAGACTGGGGTGGCAGGCATTAGGGATATTCATTTAGCCTTCTGAGCTTTCTGGGCAGACTTGGTGACCTTGCCAGCTCCAGCAGCCTTCTTGTCCACAGCTTTGATGACACCAACAGCAATTGTCTGTCTCATATCACGAACAGCAAAACGACTCAGAGGAGGATAGTCAGAGAAGCTCTCAACACACATGGGCTTGCCAGGAACCATATCAACAATGGCAGCATCACCAGACTACAATTATTAATTAAGAAAAAAATTAGTCAAGTTGATCTTTAAAATATATTCTGAATTCCATTTGTGTTCATAGTTTTCTGAAGGGTTTAAATTACTACAGTAATATAGTCTGACTTTTATAATTATATACTTAATACTTGGTTCTATTAATATAAAGGGCAGATCACAAATTCAGCACTGTTTTAACCCAGAAATTCACCTTTTATAGCATGTGGGGCATTTTCAGTGACAGATAAAAGGCTTTGGGTCTTCCTCCATCCTTTGAGGATCAAATCTGAATTCTTGCTTCTTTCTCACCTCCAGACCTTAGCTAACAAGAGCCAGATCAATGTCACCACTACCACCGAACCCTCCTAGCGGCTGCCTTAAAAGCAGACTTCCTTGTTTGGTGCTGAGGCCACTGTCCTACTTAACTGTGGGCCTTGGATTTTGCATGCTTTCAAAGGAGAGAACTATGGAAGTGGAGGGGTGAGCTGAGGAAGGACAGTACTAGGTTTTAGAGTCCAAGAATAAAGTTGGTAAGCTGACGGCTTAAATCCATGCTTTACACATGCTAAACTTGCCCTAAATTGTGGAAATTTAACCACAGGCAGACATCTTATCTGATGTGTGAAATCTCCTGAGCTTGTCCACATCCTCAGGAAGCATAGTCAGCCCTCCATGTTTAGCTACTTCACTATCTCTTACTAATTAGCCTTTGGGGGTGGAAGTGGAGATGGAGATCATAGAGTTCACTGGAGGGTAAATCAGCCACTTCCATAGTTATGAAAAAAGGTTAGTTGTTCATTTAAGCTAGAGAAAAAAAATGAATCAAAATAAGTGCCACCTCTGCTAAAAGACAAAATTTCAACAGATTTAGTTTTCAGGTTGATTACCTTTTATTTTAGATTCATAAATCTCATTCTTGAAAATACTTAAGTGCTCCATTGAGCATGAGAGTATAGTTAGTTGTTTTTGTGTAAGGGGAAAATAAGGACTCATAATAATTAAGGGCTAGCTCCATGGACTAATGGTAAAGGGAACTGAATCCCACATGGCTGACCATGCAGTTGAAGTCCCAGACCCGATGACTTGTGAAAACACACAGGCACTCTGTGTACATGCCCCAAATCCTGATAGGATGGAGAAATGGAGGAGACGGGATTGCAGTGTGACCATGCCCCATTGAGGGAGTGTGTCCTCCTTTTCCCTCATTCTCATGCCCTCAGGATTATAAACAAAGAAATAAACAAAACCAGAATAAAAAAAAAAAGAGCAGTTTGGTTAACATCATGTCACTTTAGGTTACTTTGCTTGTAAAGTTTAAGGTAGAAAGAATTCTTTTTCATACCAGCTCAGATTGACTGAGCCATTTTCCACTGATTACTGTGAGTCTTCTACTTTCAGAAAAACTATTTAGGGTGTTATCTGCTTCCTTAAAGTTTCAGTTTGATGACATAGTACTTAGCAAGAGTGACTCCATTTTGGTTTGGTCTGTTGGGGCCTAGTACAAGAGCCCAGTCCAAAACAATTGCCTCTACAAGTATTATTTGATACCGCCTTCTTGCGTTGTGGTTGCTGTGATTGATTACCCACAATAGCCCTCCCAGTATTGTCTGAGGGGCCTCTGTCCCCAAACCCACCCTAGACAGGATTTAGGTAAGAAAACAGACTCTGCCTTTCCCAGGTCAAACTAATGGAAGCAAAATCTTTGCTGATGGCTGCTTAGG